CTAGACCCATTTCCTTATAGGCAATTAACCCTTTGAGGGTCGACAGGCCCTCTCCGAGATTCGTTCTCAGGGTCAGCCAAATTTAAAAAAAAAAAAAAAAATTCCTAGGAAAAGATAGAGAATCTTTTCCCGATCATAATGACACCAAAAATATGAAATTTGATGGAAAGCTTACGGAATTATGCTCTCACGAAGTTAGCCGTCTCGGCGATGTTTACGGATCGGCGATTTTGCCCACTTTGAGCCCCATTTTCGGCCAGTTCCACTGTACTAGTCGACAAAAAACATGAATATTTCGCTAGAACTCCATTTTTTCTATTGATTGAGTGCAAGAAACCACCCATTTACCAATTTCAACTATCCAGTACAGTGGTCAGAATTTAGCAATTTTGCCAATTTCACACAAATTTCAAAAGATGCCAATTTCCGAATAGGGTCCAGAATAAACAAGAAATGCATTCCTGGCACTTAAATGACATTTCCTCTGTTCATTAGTCACGTCTCAAGGCCCCTCTTACATTCTTTTGCTTTCCACTTTGAATTTTTATTCTCACAAAAAATAGAAGATTTACTGTTATGCATACTACTGCATTAGTGTAAAAAATGGTATGAATAATATTGGCGCACTTGCAAAGAAATATTAGACTCACCAGTTGACGTGTATTGGACGCTTGACATGATTTGTTTACTTTTGAACTTTGGTAAAAATCGAACATTTCTGCTACTTTGAGCTCAATTTCAAGGTACTTTTCATTGTAAAACCAGTCAAAATCATCTCAATTTCTATGATATGTCTTCCATTCTATAAAATGAGACCAAGAAAACTAGAATACAACAATAAATACCATACGAAAATACAGTGCAAAGTCGCTGTTTTATTCTAAAAAAATGGTCAAAGTTTTTTTTTCTCATTATGCACTGTGTGCTGCAGGATTTTTTTTATACCATGCACATTGACCACATAGACCCATTCTTTCATATGGAGGCCTACCAGCTTTCTCCCACTAGATTTGAGGGCGCTAGAATTTAGGCGTACTAGTACGTCAAAAACCCTGGGGCGTAAGCCGTACTAGTACATCCGAAACCCTCAAAGGGTTAAAGGAAATTTCCTACTGATAAGTGCCAGATACTTCTGGGATCAGAATATTAAAGTCTTTTATAATGAAACAGTATGGAGTCTGACAGTAAGTTGATGATAACTGACATGTCACTAATATTGTAGTTGCTAGGTTATTACTAAATATTTAGTGCTGATGGGCTTTATATATGCTTTTTTCTACAGTTTTTATATTCTGCCGTCATTCTTCTGGCACTGAGCACTGGTTGCCTGGCACCGTCTACCTTACTCTAGCTAGAGTTGTTCTGCTGGATGAACCTACCTGAACTTCCTACTCATTTCTGAAACATTGCAAGTTTGTGAAGACGTGTTGATTGGAACACGAAAGACCTAGAGCTATCATTCAACTTCCCCTGTGGTTATTTTACATCATGTATTGCTTTTTTGTGATTGTATATATATATATATATATATATATATATATATATAATATATATTATATATATATATATATATATATATATATATATATATATATATATATATATATATATATATATTGTAAGAAGGGTAACTCCATTGCTATGGATCAAGAGTCTATGAGGGTAGAGGGAGGATGTTTGGATGAGGAAGGCAGTAGAGCTATGTTGTTCAACATGGGCATGTTGTATGTTGTATGTGAGTAAATATGTGAGTTTTTAGGTTCGCGATGTTCACAGCATGATGCTGGCCTATGTTGGTGTATGTGGTTAAGGGTCAGTTTAGTATGTAATTAATATAGAGATATGGACCTTATTGCCTTGGCTTTAACTTTGTTAGTATATGTGGTTAAGGGCCAGATTAATATGTAATTAATATAGACATGTGGACCTTATTGCCTTGGCCTTAAGTCTCTGCTTGTAGATAAGGGTCAATTGGGTATCATTTTACATAGAATGTTGGGAGTTATGGTTCTTATAGGGTAGCGTGGGCATGGGGTATGTGCGCATGGGGTAGCCCGGGCATGGGGGTTATGTGCGCATGCCGCTATGACTACTAATAAGCTGTGTTTCTCTCTCTCTTTCCTGCCGCCCGGACGATGTCTGCCCACATGTACGTCAACTCTGCCGCTTGTCCCTCATGGTTCACCCCCGTGGTCCTCGATACCTCCCTTCCTACCATTGCTTGTCCCTCATGGTCCACCCCATGGTCCTTGATACCTCCCTTCCTACTATTGCTTGTCCCTCATGTCCACCCCATGGTCCTCGATACCTCCCTTCCTACCATTGCTTGTCCCTCATGGTCCACCCCATGGTCCTCGATACCTCCCTTCCTACCACTGCTTGTCCCTCATGGTCCACCCCATGGTCCTTGATACCTCCCTTCCTACCACTGCTTGTCCCTCATGGTCCACCCCATGATCCTCAATACCTCCCTTCCTACCATTGCTTGTCCCTCATGGTATACCCCATGGTCCTCGATACCTCCCTTCCTACCATTGCTTGTCCCTCATGGTATACCCCATGGTCCTCGATACCTCCCTTTCTACCACTGCTTGTCCCTCATGGTCCACCCCATGGTCCTTGATACCTCCCTTCCTACCATTGCTTGTCCCTCATGGTATACCCCATGGTCCTCGATACCTCCCTTCCTACCACTGCTTGTCCCTCATGGTCCACCCCATGGTCCTCGATACCTCCCTTCCTACCACTGCTTGTCCCTCATGGTCCACCCCATGGTCCTCGATACCTCCCTCCCTACCACTGCTTGTCCCTCATGGTCCACCCCATGATCCTTGATACCTCCCTTCCTACCACTGCTTGTCCCTCATGGTCCACCCCATGGTCCTCGATACCTCCCTTCCTACCACTACTTGTCCCTCATGGTCCACCCCATGGTCCTCAATACCTCCCTTCCTACCACTGCTTGTCCCTCATGGTCCACCCCATGGTCCTTGATACCTCTTCTCCTTCCCTGGCTTTATTACAAATATTCCCTCCCTCCTTTTACTACATAAACCTTTCTCTATCCCTCCCTTCATTCTTGTTTTAATGTTGCTCTGTGTTTTATTTCTGGTTTATTTACGTTGTTGCTCTGCGAATTTATTCCGCCATTAATGTCCCTTTAAAAATAATTTATTCTGTGTCGCTCTCTCGGTTTATTTCAAAATTTTGACTGATTTTTCTTCCGTTTTTAATTCAATGTGGAATTATTTTCATATATGCTTTTTTTGCGGCGATTTTTTTTAAATGGGGAAAAAATTTGATGTGTTTTCTGTTGTCATTGTAATTTAAATCTTCTAATGTGGTGGAAAATATTGCATCTTGCATTTCCGGGTTCGATGTATTCTTGGGTTCATTTTTGGGGCTTCAATTTATTTTTTCTGGTTCAATTTATTTTTGGGGGTTCAATTTATTTTTTGGGGTTTCAATTTATTTTTGGGGGTTTCAATTTATTTTTTCTGGTTCAATTTATTTTTTGGGGTTCAATTTATTTTTTGGGGTTTCAATTTATTTTTGGGGGTTTCATATTTTTGGTTCAATTTTTTTTGGGTTTCAATTTATTTTTGGGGGTTCAATTTATTTTTTCTGGTTAATTATTTTGGGTTCAATTTATTTTTTGGGGTTCAATTTATATTTGGGGGTTTCAATTTATTTTTGGGGGTTCAATTTATTTTTGGGGGTTTTAATTTATTTTTTGGAGTTCAATTTATTTTTTGGGTTCAATTTTCTTTTTAATTTTTGGATTACATTATTTTTGGGTTCAATTTGTTTTTGGTTCACTTCCTGGGTCTTAATTTATTTTTGGGTTCACATCCTGGGGTTCAATTTATTCTTGGGTTCACTTCCTGGGGTTTAATTTATTTTTGGGTTCACTTCCTGGGTCTTAATTTATTTTGGGGTTCTCTTCCTGGGTCTTAATTTATTTTGGGGCTCTCTTCCTGGGTCTTAATTTATTTTTGGGTTCACTTCCTGGGGTTCAATTTATTCTTGGGTTCACTTCAACAGCCTCTTCAAAATGCTGCTTCAGGGTTTAGCGGCCTCATGAAGAGCTTCTTCTAATTCAAAACTTCAAATTCTAAAAGACATTAGAATTAGAGGGATCGTTTGGCACTAAACCACCAGTGTTGTTGTTGTTGTTGTTGCGTTGTTACCGTTGTTGTTGTTGTTGTAGTTGCTGGGGGTACGCGGGGCACCAGGGCATGGGTGCCCATAGATACCCAGGAATTTTTTTCAAACGGCCGAGGCATTTCTAATTCAATTTCTAGTTCTATTTGTGTCTCTATGTGCCTGTAAAGTGGGAAAAGTGACTGTTGTATTTTGAGATGTAAAATCTGATGAATATATTGTTTTTGTAGTTATAATTCAAAGATATTTAATTTTTTTATAATTTTGATTATTTTTTATATATTTTTTAGTACATTTGGTTGATTTTTTTTTGTGTTTTTTTCTGTGATGTGAATTTTGCCTTCCCTTGCCCACCTGATCTATCAACATGATGTGACTAAAATGATCTATTGGACGTCTATCATGGGACGACGTCCATCTGGATGCGGTGAATCTGTTGGACATCTTTGATGGAATGATGTCTATCTGATGCTACGAACTATGTCTCCGATGATTTACTGGACGTCTGTGATGGGACGATGATCTATCTGGATGCTGTGAATGTATTGGACATCTGTAACGGAATAACGTCTATCTGGTGTTGTGAAACCATCTCTTATATAAACTATTGGATGTCTGTTATGGGACAATCTATCTGGATGCTGTGAATCTATTGGATGTCTGTGATGGAATGACACCTTTTCTGATGCTGTCAATTACCTCTCTCCACCCCACGGAACTGTTCAACTCCCACTCTCAACGACCCTTCACCCGGACCTTTGAGCTGAATACAACGTCCAATTTCCAAACAAATGGACAAAACGTCTCCCAATCTACACGGTCCACCAATCACTTAGCCGCTGGAGACTCAGTCACGCCCAGATCAACCGGAAATGGACATGGTTGAGATTGAGGGACGTGAGAGAGAGTACAAGTTACACATTAACCAGGTAGAAGTTGATATCAAGTTGAAAGATTCACTAATCAGCAATCTGAGTGAGGAGAACAAGACACAGAGAGAGCGCATAGAAGAACTGGAAGGGGAAATCCATGTTCTGGAAGAGGAGGCGAGGAAGAACGAGAGAATAGAGGAACTGGAGGAATTAGTAATAGTCGTGAAGCACAAGAATGAGAGAATTGAGGAACTGGAAGAGGCACTAAGGCAGAGTGTAAGAATAGCAACGGACATGGAACTGGAGAAGAGAGATGAAGAAGAGAGAAGGAAGGAGATAACAGAGAAGGTAAGTAATCTCTTTACATTGTTTTAGGGTGAAAAACCCACATTTAATAGAAATTTTATGTAAATCGCAAAAGGCAGTTTACGTAGACTAGGGCCCCAACTTACAACATTCCATTTTACGGACGTGGAACTGGAGAAGAGGGATGGAGAAGAGAGATGGAAGGAGGTAACAGAGAAGGTAAGTAACCTCTTTACATTTTTTTAGGGTGAAAAACCCACATTTAATAGAAATTTTACGCAAATTGCAGTAGGCAATTTACAGCAGGCTAGGGTACTGACTAACAACTTTCCATTTTATGATCGTCCACACGATGGCCGGTCATTCCAGTTGTCCATACTTGCGATGGCAGGTCATTCCAGTTATCCACACTTGCGATGGCAGGTCATTCCAGTTGTCCACACTTACGATGGTGGGTCATTCCGATCGTCCGCACTTACGATGGCAGGTCATTCTGATTGTCCGCACTTACAATGGCAGGTCATTCTGATTGTCCGCACTTACGATGGCAGGTCATTCTGATTGTCCGCACTTACAATGGCAGGTCATTCTGATTGTCCACACTTACGATGGCAGGTCATTCCAGTTGTCCACACTTACGATGGCAGGTCATTCCAGTTGTCCACACTTACGATGGCAGGTCATTCCAGTTGTCCACACTTACGATGGTGGGTCATTCCGATCGTCCGCACTTACGATGGCAGGTCATTCTGATTGTCCGCACTTACAATGGCAGGTCATTCTGATTGTCCGCACTTACGATGGCAGGTCATTCTGATTGTCCGCACTTACAATGGCAGGTCATTCTGATTGTCCGCACTTACGATGGCAAGTCATTCTGATTGTCCGCACTTACAATGGCAGGACATTCTGATTGTCCGCACTTACGATGGCGGGTCATTCTGATTGTCCGCACTTACAATGGCAGGTCATTCTGATTGTCTGCACTTACAATGGGAGGTCATTCTGATTGTCCGCACTTACGATGGCAGGTCATTCTGATTGTCTGCACTTACAATGGCAGGTCATTCTGATTGTCTGCACTTACGATGGCGGGTCATTCCGATCGTCCGCACTTATGATGGCAGGTCATTCCGATCGTCCGCACTTACGATGGCGGGTCATTCCAATCGTCCGCACTTACGATGGCGGGTCATTCCGATCATCTGCACTTACGATGGCGGGTCATTCTGATCATCCACACTTATGATGGCAGGTCATTCCGATCATCCACACTTACGATGGCGGGTCATGCCGATCATCCACACTTACGATCGTGAGTCATTCCGACCTGTTAACGACTTACAACAGATTAAAAAAAGAACAACAGATAACTGTTAACAGTGAGCATTATACAGAAAAACTACATTAATTTTGAAGGGGCCGTAGCCACCAAAATTAATTTCATCAACAAATGTCTAAATTAACTCATTTCATTAACCTGAAAGCTTTTCCAAGCTTCCTATAGAAGAGATGCTTTGCTAAGCTTAAAATAAGCTTGGAAAAATCCTTCCAGGAAGCTAAATGAAATTAATAGCATTAATTAGGAGTCTAGAATGTATTAATTAGGGACCCAAAATGCATTATGGGCCAGGAATTAATTAGTGGCTCAAAATGCATTATGGATAAATAATGGTTGATAAAAACGCTGAAAATTGTAGTAAAAAATGTTGAAAATTCTTAAATTCTGGTTAAAAATTCTTCAATTCTTAAAAAATTCTCGTAAAAATTTTTTGAAAATTCTTAAAATTCTTATTAATAAAAATCTCCAAATTCTTAAAATTCTTGTAAAAAATTCTCAAAATTTCCAGTTTTTTTTTTTAAGCTTAAGCTTGAAAACTGTTTCAAAATCTTACATTATTATTATTATTTCATATTTTACCAGCTTAATAAGCTTAAAAATCAGCTTAGTGAGACAGATTAATGAGCAGATTAAAAGCTTAATCTTCCTTAGTAACTATTTAGTATTATTTTCAAGCTTAGTAAACTTAGTTGGAACAGAAAAAGCTTAACAAAATTATAATTGTCAGGTGAATTTACTTCAGCTTAATAAGCTTGAGAACAGATTATCGAGCACAGTGAAAGCTTTAAAAATTTACTGCATAAGTATCTAGGATTTTTTCCAAGCTGAGTAAGCTTATGTAACTATCAATTGTATTCTATGAAGTTTAGTAAGCTTCTAATTTTATAGGAATTTTCTTAAAGCTTAGTAAGCTTGTGTAACTGTATAATTTATTATATCAAGCTTAGTAAGCTTGTGCAACTGTATAATTTATTATACCAAGCTTAGTAAGCTTGTGCAACTGTATAATTTATTATACCAAGCTTAGTAAGCTTGTGCAACTGTATAATTTATTATACCAAGCTTAGTAAGCTTGTGTAACTGTAATTTATTATACCAAGCTTAGTAAGCTTGTGTAATTGTCTAATTTATTATACCAAGCTTAGTAAGCTTGTGTAACTCAGATTTATTATACTAAGCTTATTAAGCTTGTGTAAGTTGTTGAATTTGTTATACCAAGCTTAGGAATCTTGTGTAAGTTGTCTAATTTATTATTCCAAGCTTAGTAAGCTTGTGTGTCTAATTTATTATACCAAGCTTAATAAGCTTGTGTAACTGCCAAATTAATTTTTTTTCCAGCTTAGTAAGCTTGTGTAACTGCCAAATTTATCTGTGTAACTTACAGATTTCTTGTTTCCCAGCTTAATAAGCTTGAGAGAAAGCTTGAGAGCAGTGTTCAGAAGGTGCGGTGCGGTCACTGCCAGACAGTGAAGGAGCGACTGTCAGAGCTGGAGATCAGGTACAAGAACCTGATTAGCCAGAGGCACAGACACCTGATGGAACTCTGGGAGCTAAAGTGAGTGAGGGAGTGAGTGAGGGAGTGAGGGAGTGAGTGAGGGAGTGAGTGAGTGAGGAGTGAGTGAGTGAGTGAGGGAGTGAGGGAGTGAGGAGTGAGTGAGTGAGTGAGGGAGTGAGTGAGTGAGTGAGTGAGTGAGGGAGTGAGTGAGGGAGTGAGTGAGTGAGTGAGTGAGGGGTGAGTGAGGGAGTGAGTGAGTGAGTGAGTGAGTGAGTGAGTGAGGGAGTGAGGGAGTGAGGGAGTGAGTGAGTGAGTGAGTGAGTGAGTGAGGGAGTGAGTGAGGGAGTGAGTGAGTGAGTGAGTGAGGGAGTGAGTGAGGGAGTGAGTGAGTGAGAGTGAGGGAGTGAGTGAGGGAGTGAGTGAGTGAGGAGTGAGTGAGTGAGGGAGTGAGTGAGGGAGTGAGGGAGTGAGTGAGTGAGTGAGTGAGTGAGTGGGAGTGAGTGAGTGAGTGAGGGAGTGAGTGGGGGAGTGAGTGAGGGAGTGAGTGAGTGGGGTGAGTGAGTGAGGGAGTGAGTGAGTGAGTGAGTGGGGGAAAGTGGAGTGGGGGAGAGTGAGTGAGTGAGTGAGGGAGTGAGTGAGGGAGTGAGGGAGTGAGTGAGGTGAGTGAGGGATGATGAGTGAGGAGAGTGAGTGAGTGAGTGAGTTGAGGGATGTGAGTGAGGGAGTGAGTGAGTGAGTGAGTGAGTGAGTGAGGGAGTGAGTGAGTGAGTGGAGTGAGTGAGGGAGTGAGTGAGTGAGTGAGTGAGTGAGTTGGGGGGAGTGAGGGAGTGATGAGTAGTGAGTGAGTGAGGGAGTGAGTGAGTGAGTGAGTGAGTGAGTGAGTGAGTGAGGGAGTGAGTGGTGAGGGGAGTGAGGGATGTGAGGGAGTGAGGGAGTGAGTGAGGGTGATGTGAGTGGGAGGGAGTGAGTGGGGTGAGTGAGTGAGTGAGGGAGTGGGGTGGGGTGAGTGAGGAGTGAGTGAGGGAGTGAGTGAGGTGAGTGAGGGAGTGAGTGGGAGTGAGTGAGGAGGAGTGAGTGAGTGAGTGAGGAAGTGAGTGAGTGAGTGAGTGAGGGTGAGTGAGGAGGGAGTGAGGGGTGAGTGAGGGATGTGAGGGAGTGAGAGGAGGGAGTGAGTGAGGGAGTGAGTGAGTGGAGGGGAGTGAGTGAGAGTGAGTGAGTGAGTGAGTGAGGGAGTGAGTGATGAGTGAGTGAGTGAGGAGTGGGGTGAGTGAAAGGGAGTGAGTGAGGGAGTGAGTGAGTGAGGGAGTGAGGGAGTGAGTGAGTGAGTGAGGGAGGGAGTGAGTGAGTGAGTGAGTGAATGAGTGAGTGAATGAGTGAGTGAATGAGTGAGAGAATGAGTGAGAGAATGAGTGAGAGAATGAGTGAGAGAATGAGTGAGTGAATGAGTGAGAGAATGAGTGAGAGAATGAGTGAGAGAATGAGTGAGAGAGTGAGAGAATGAGTGAGAGAATGAGTGAGAGAATGAGTGAGTGAATGAGTGAGAGAATGAGTGAGAGAATGAGTGAGAGAGTGAGAGAATGAGTGAGAGAATGAGTGAGTGAATGAGTGAGTGAATGAGTGAGAGAATGAGAGAATGAATGAGTGAATGAGTGAGAGAATGAGTGAGTGAATGAGTGAGAGAATGAGTGAGAGAATGAGTGAGAGAATGAGTGAGAGAATGAGTGTCATCAGTATAATACTTACGTATTATATACAGGGGTAACGTCTTTTATAGACAGGATCTCTGTCCGTGCTAGAGATGTCTCTCTTTGGACGTAACCACGGACAGGCACAGACGTACAGGTCAGGGTTGTCAGGAAACAGGACAAGTGTTTCCTGACGTGAGGGTCTCAACACACGCCAATACAACACCTCCATAACATCTCAGCAGTTGTTTAATTGCTACCGTCAATATCGATTCCCTCCGAAGCCAACGCTTGAGGAGGGCTCTTGTTCCGGGGAACCAAGTGACGTGTCTGACCTCACTAGGTCAAGGCATTGGCTTAAGCCGGTACGAGAATTGGAGCTGCCTCGCATAGGACAGTAGGCCTGTTGCAGTGTTCACCAAGGGTTACACCAATACAGATTTAAACAACTATAGGCCAATATCAAACTTACCATTGCTATCCAAAATCTTTGAGAAACTCGTGCACAGGAGACTGTATTCATTTATAACAGCACAAAACATACTCAACCCCTGCCAATTTGGATTCAGGAAAAATAAAAGCACTAATGATGCAATCATAAAAATGCTAGATCTGCTTTACACAGCATTGGAAAATAAGGAATATCCACTAGGAATTTTTATTGGCCTAAGAAAAGCTTTTGTTCTATCTAGGCTGGAATATTGCTGCACTCTAACAGCACCTTTCAAGGCAGGTGAAATTGCCGACCTAGAAAATGTACAGAGAACTTTCACGGCGCGCATAACGGGAAAAAACACCTAATTACGGGGGAGCGTTTGGGGTTTCCAAACCTGTATCCCCTGGAAGCAGGGGGAGAGTACAGATTATAACCCCTGGAAAACCCTAGAGGGACTAGTAAAAACTTGCACACAAAATCACCCCCTTACGAAAGCAAAAGATTGGGCAACGATCCCCACCCCCCAATGAAAAGCAGGGTGCACTAGCCGTTAAGAGACCTACAATAAGGCGGGCCCGAGACTGTTCAAACCTCCCGCCACATAAGGGGGATTACCAACAGACCCCTGGCATCTTCAAGCTGGCACGGGACAAACCTAAAGACATTTCCCTGACGGGGCTGGGGCTCGTACGTTGGTTGGTGCAGCCGCAGAACAGCCCTGGTTTTATAGGCGCTGACCCCCAGGGGGCCTGGTCACGGACCCGGGGCCCCGGGGCGTTGACCCCCGAAACTCTTCCAGGTAAACCCAGGGAAACCAGTAGACCCCGAATCCTACTCCACAAACTTGACCACTACGGGAAAGAGGCCATGGCTTGCTTATTTCAAACTTACCCTTCTAATAGGTATCAGTATGTCACCATTAAAGAACAGCATCAACAACCGGCCCCCTTGATACTGGAGTTTTCCCCGGGGAAGTGTCCTTGGTCCCGCCCCTTTCATATACATCAATGACCTTCCAAACGTTTCCCAACACCCGAAACCCATTTCTTTGTACGACACGACTTATGTCATCTCCCCCTAATTTCCACCCTCAAACCCTTGTTAACGAGGAGCTGACAAAAAAATTGCTTGGATGAAGCCCAAAAAACTTCGCTTAACCTGACAAAACCCACAATTATGTTTGGAACAAGCAGGGATGCAAAAAATTAACATTAAAATTGACAACACCTAATTACCCAAAAAAATGGGGGGGCAAATTCCCAGGCCTATACCTCGACAAAAACCCGAATTTTGCACCCATATCCAACACAACCAAAAAAAGTATCTAAAACGGTTGGGGTCCTCTCCAAGATACTACTCGTGCCGCAAAAAGCCCTTTTCACACATACCATTCACTTATATATCCCTACCTCACCTATGTATTTGTGCTTCGGATCAAATGCAGCAAAAAACCAAAGCCAATAATAAAACCCAAAAAAAGCTGCAGTAAGAAAACACTAAAACCCATCCCCGGCAACACCCCCCCCCCCCCCCCACTCTTCATAGACCTAAACTTACTCCCTGTTCAGTACATCCACACTTACTACTGTGCAATCTACTTCTACAGGACCTTAAACTCCAATATCAACCTTGACCTAAAACGCTTTCTTGATAGTTGTGACAGAACCCACAGGCATAACACCAGACACAAACATCTCTACGACATTCCCCGTGTCCGACTAAACCTTTACAAAAATTCAATGTATGTCAAAGGCCCTAAAATCTGGAACACCCTACCTGAAAACTCTAGAACTGCAGACACATTCATCACCTTCAAAACTACCATTAGAAAACATCTTATCTCCCTGATACACCCCATCATCTAACTACACAAATACCACCTGGTGGTTCACACTTACACTCACTCACCCATCTGACCATAAACAGAAATATTAATCTCAATCTTAAAATAATGAATCCTGTGATACTCCAATACTGAAACTATGTACTGTGCCAAAACAAAAGCATTCACATTGCTAAACTCATAAACTAGTATTTAGTCACTTAGCCATAATACCAACTTACCTCATAATTTGTAATATTTTAAAATAAAGAATTAAACTAAGTCTGCCCGAAATACCTAGCCATGCTAGGCGTTCTAGTGGTACGCTGTGTAATGCCTAGCCATGCTAGGTGTTCTAGTGGTACACTGTGTAATGCCTAGCCATGCTAGGTGTTCTAGTGGTACACTGTGTAATACCTAGCCATGCTAGGTGTTCTAGTGGTACACTGTGTAATACCTAGCCATGCTAGGTGTTCTAGTGGTACACTGTAATGCCTAGCCATGCTAGGTGTTCTAGTGGTATACTGTGTAATACCTAGCCATGCTAGGTGTTCTAGTGGTACACTGTGTAATGCCTAGCCATGCTAGGTGTTCTAGTGGTACACTGTGTAATACCTAGCCATGCTAGGTGTTCTAGTAGTACACTGTGTAATGCCTAGCCATGCTGGGTGTTCTAGTGGTACACTGTGTAATACCTAGCCATGCTAGGTGTTCTAGTGGTACACTGTGTAATTAGTATTTTCTCATGTTCTCTACGACTTCTGTGGCTACGGTTGGAATGACCACAGAGGATCCCTTCGTGAGATCCACTTCGACAGACTGTTCTTGACACTGGCCCGAACGAGACGTCACTGGATACTAACAGAATCTTGTGCTACTGTGCAGACAACAGGTTGTACGGAAGGAGCTGTACCAGTGCGTGGTACAGGAACGACACATGTTTGCACCAGGACTCTCAGAGGATCCATCTCTACAGCTGGAGGAGTAGCAGAACACGAATACAAAGAAGGGGGGTATCAAGTTCTTAATGGTACCAAAGTCCCTAGTTTGCCAAATTGGACGTCTCAAAGTCAGCCTACGAGTCTAGAAATGACTTAATATTGTCCTGCAATAGGGGTTGCCATTCACAATATGTTGAATACGGATTACAAACTGTTGCTTGAGAAAAGTAACTATGGTACATATCGTATTGTGACCAACAATTAAAGCTACAGGAACCACGATTACTGGCTTACTGGCTTCTCCAGGCGAGGTTGACCTGGAAACACTGTCTTTCAAAGTCTAATGACAGGGTCTTCTGGTGTGTGCCAAGCTGCATTATCCACTACATTGCAAATTGCAGTGAAGTAAGCTTCAGGATTACTCGTGCTGCCACCAAAGGTAGGCACAGTGTCCAGAGGTTCACAAAAATAAATGTATAGTCTATGGACTGGTGTAAGTCAGTCAACAAAGAACCACTGAGAGTCTGAGTCGGTTCAGTGGTGTTGTTAGTCACGATATTGACATTAACACTGCCAGTCACAGGTGATTCAGATATCTATATCTTTTTTTCAACGCACCGGCCGTATCCCACCGAGGCAGGGTGGCCCACCGAGGCAGGGTGGCCCACCGAGGCAGGGTGGCCCACCGAGGCAGGGTGGTCCACCGAGGCAGGGTGGCATACAGAGGCAGGTGGCTCACCGAGGTGGGATGGTCCACCGAGGCAGGGTGGCATACAGAGGCAGGGTGGTCCACCTTTTGTCACTGTCCCAACCTAATCAGGTCCAGGTCACATCCACTTAAGTAAGAAACACGACATTAGACCTATTCATATACTAGGTTGGCTTGATTGTCTCGGCTGGGCTGGCTTGCTGGCTTAATTCCTCGACACTGGATACAATGGGACGGCTGGAATGCTTGCAAACATGAACACAGACGTTTTAAAGCAGGACAGATGGATGGCTTGCTGGCTTGGACCGTCTTGTAGAGACTGGCTTAACCTGGCTTGGCTCAATTTGAATGAAACTCGGGTCCACCCCCTCGAAAGCTTGCATGCAAAGCCATTGAACACTAAATACGAAGCAGGAAGGACGATGATGACTGTGGAGAAGGTAAACTACCCACTGGCACAGCGGCTTCCTTCAGGGTGACACGCTGTGTCCACACAACCTTGTCAATATAATCACTTCTCATCGATGTAATTCCCAAAGTTACGTACCCAAAGGTGTCACCATCTATCAGGGTTCGATATAAGAAGTGATGGTAGGAAGGAAGCAACTATTGAACTTGTATGGAGGCACTGTATTGGTATACTTGGCGAGACCAGCCAAACTGCGGGTCATCATGTGACTAAGACCCGCGTCAGGGAACACTTGTCCTGTTTCCTGACAAACCCTATCTAACCTAACCTGAAAACCCGCGTCAGGGAACACTTGTCCCGTTTCCGACAAAACCTATTCTAAACCTAACCTGGAAGACCAGGTAGGGAACACTTTCCTGTTCCTGCCCAAACCCTATCTAACAAAACCTAAAGACCGCGTCAGGGAACACTTGTCCTGTTTCCTGACAAACCCTATCTAACCTAACCTGAAGACCAGCGTCAGGGAACACTTGTCCTGTTTCCTGACAAACCCTATCTAACCTAACCTGAAAGACCAGGTCAGGGAACACTTGTTCCTGTTTCCTGACAAACCCTATCTAACCTAACCTGAAGACCAGCGTCAGGGAACACTTTTCCTGTTTCCTGTCAAACCCTATCTAACCTAACCTGAAGACCAGCGTCAGGGAACACTTTTCCTGTTTCCTGACAAACCCTATCTAACCTAACATGAAGACCAGCGTCAGGGAACACTTGTCCTGTTTCCTGACAAACCCTATCTAACCTAACCTGAAGGCCAGCGTCAGGGAACACTTGTTCTGTTTCCTGACAAACCCTATCTAACCTAACCTGAAGGCCAGCGTCAGGGAACACTTGTCCTGTTTCCTGACAAACCTAACCTACCCTATACGTCTGCCTGTGCGTGGTTTGGTCGGAAGGGTGAGAGAGAGTTTTCAGGCACGGCCTTTGTGCGATGGGGCAGGTGACTTGAGGCTTGGCCAGGGAGCCTGACTGTAAATGGGGCTGTCACAGCATATACTGCACATTATACTAGTGTAATGTGTGTGAGTGAGTGCATGAGTCTGTGAGTTAGTGTGAGTGAGTGCATGAGTCTGTGAGTTAGTGTGAGTGAGTGCATGAGTGTCTGTGGAGTTAGTAGTGAGTGCATGAGTCTGTGAGTTAGTGTGAGTGAGTGCATGAGTCTGTGAGTTAGTGTGAGTGAGTGCATGAGTCTGTGAGTTAGTGTGAGTGAGTGTGAGTTGTGATTAGTGTGAGTGAGTGCATGAGTCTGTGAGTTAGTGTGAGTGAGTGCATGAGTCTGTGAGTTAGTGTGAGTGAGTGCATGAGTCTGTGAGTTAGTGTGAGTGAGTGCATGAGTCTGTGAGTTAGTGTGAGTGAGTGCATGAGTCTGTGAGTTAGTGTGAGTTAGTGTGAGTGAGTGCATGAGTCTGTGAGTTAGTGTGAGTGAGTGCATGAGTCTGTGAGTTAGTGTGAGTGAGTGCATGAGTCTGTGAGTTAGTGTGAGTTAGTGTGAGTGAGTGCATGAGTCTGTGAGTTAGTGTGATGGTGTGAGATAGTGTGTGAGTGAGACTGTGTGTAATTGAGAGTTAGTAAACTCTCCTTCTTAACAGACACAAACCCTGGCACTCTCTTAACAGACACTTACCCTGGCACTCTCTTAACAGACACTTACCCTGGCACTCTCTTAACAGACACTTACCCTGGCACTCTCTTAACAGACACTTACCCTGGCACTCTCTTAACAGACACTAACCCTGGCACTCTCTTAACAGACATTAACCCTTACACTCTCTTAACAGACACTTACCCTGGCACTCTCTTAACAGACATTAACCCTGGCACTCTCTTAACAGACACTTACCCTGGCACTCTCTTAACGGGACACTTACCCTGGCACTCTCTTAACGGGACACTTACCCTGGCACTCTCTTAACAGACACCCTGGCCTCTCTTAACAGACACCCTGGCACTCTCTTAACAGACACTTACCCTGGCACTCTCTTAACAGACACTAACCCTGGCACTCTCTTAACAGACATTAACCCTTACACTCTCTTAACAGACACTTACCCTGGCACTCTTTTAAAACAGACTTTTAACCCGGGCACTCTCTTAACAGACACTTACCTGGCACTCTCTTAACAGACATTAACCCTTACACTCTCTTAACAGACACTTACCCTGGCACTCTCTTAACAGAACTTCCCCCTGGCACTCTCTTTAACAGACACTTACCTGGCACTCTCTTAACAGACACAAACCCTGGCACTCTCTTAACAGACATTAACCCTTACACTCTCTTAACAGACACTTACCCTGGCACTCTCTTAACAGACATTAACCCTGGCACTCTCTTAACAGACACTTACCCTGGCACTCTCTTAACAGACATTAACCCTGGCACTCTCTTAACAGACTTTAAACCCTGGCACTCTCTTAACAGACACTTTACCCTGGCACTCTCTTAACAGACATTAACCCTGGGCACTCTCTTAACAGACACTTACCCTGGCCTCTCTTGACAGACATTAACCCCTGGCACTCTCTTAACAGACACTTACCCTAGCACTCTCTTAACAGACATTAACCCTGGCACTCTCTTAACAGACACTTACCCTGGCACTCTCTTAACAGACATTAACCCTGGCACTCTCTTAACAGACATTAACCCTGGCACTTTCTTAACAGACACTTACCCTGGCACTCTCATAACAGACATTAACCTTGGCACTCTCTTAACAGACACTTACCCTGGCACTCTCTTAACAGACATTAACCCTGGCACTCTCTTAACAGACATTAACCCTGGCACTCTCTTAACAGACATTAACTCTGGCACTCTCTTAACAGACACTTACCCTGGCACTCTCTTTACAGACACTAACAAACCTTGACACTCTCTTAACAGACACTAACCCTGGCACTCTTAACAGACACTTACCCTGGCACTCTCTTGACAGACACTTACCTTGGCACTCTCTTAACAGACACCCTGACACTCTCTTAACACACTAACCCTGGCACTCTCTTAACAGACACTAACCCTGGCACTCTCTTAACAGACATTAACCCTTACATTCTCTTAACAGACACTTACCCTGGCACTCTTAACAGACATTAACCCTGGCACTCTCTTAACAGACATTAACTCTGGCACTCTCTTAACAGACACTTACCCTCGCACTCTCTTAACAGACACTAACAAACCCTGACACTCTCTTAACAGACACTAACCCTGGCACTCTCTTAACAGACACTAACCCTGGCACTCTCTTAACAGACACTTACCCTGTCACTCTCTTAACAGATACCCTGACACTCTCTTAACAGACACTAACCATGGCACTCTCTTAACAGACATTAACCCTGGCACTCTCTTAACAGACACTAACAAACCCTGGCACACTCTTAACAGAATAACTCTGGCACTCTCTTAACAAACACTAACAAACCCTGGCACACTCTTAACAGACAATAACCCCGGCACTCTCTTAACAGACATTAACCCTGGCACTCTCTTAACAGACACTAACAAACCCTGACACTCTCTTAACAGACACTAACCCTGGCACTCTCTTAACACTTACCCTGGCACTCTCTTGACAGACACTTACCTTGGCACTCTCTTAACAGACATTAATCCTGGCACTCTCTTAACAGACATTAACCCTGGCACTTTCTTAACATACACTTATTCTGGCACTCTCTTAACAGACACTTACCCTGGCACACTCTTAACAGATACTTGCCCTGGCACTCTCTTAACAGACACTTACCCTGGCACTCTCTTAACAGATACTTGCCCTGGGACTCTCTTAACAGATACTTGCCCTGGCACTTTCTTAACAGACACTTACCCTGGCACTCTCTTAACAGACAGGAGGCACTTACCTCGGCACTGAGCGAGAAGGACGCCCACTTGGCACTGTTGGAGGTTGGCGGTGTGAGGTCTTCGCGGGCGGCCCAGGAGCTAGAGACTCTCAAGAAAGCGAGAGTTAAGCTCTTAGATGCCATCAAAGACTTGGTGAGTTACTGTTGTTTCAACGGTTCCAACAGAAGTGCCACAACAGAAGGGGTAAAGTTACTGTTGTTCCAACGGTGCTAACAACAGAGGGGATTAATATACTGATGGTTCAACGGCACTAATAACAGAGAAGATTAAGCTTCTGTTGTTGCAACGGCAATAACAGAACTACCTCAACAGGGGTGGTTCATTTATTGCTTTTCAATGGTGCTAACAGGGGTATCACAACGGAAGGAATTCAAGTACTGTTGTTTCAACAGAGCTGTCATACAGAGGTGGTGAAGTTACTGTTGATTCAACAGTACTAACAACAGAAGGAATATAAGTTACTGTTGATTCAACAGCACTAACAACGAAGGAATATAAGTTACTGTTGATTCAACAGCACTAACAACAGAAGGAATATAAGTTACTGTTGATTCAACAGCACTAACAACAGAAGGAATATAAGTTACTGTTGATTCAACAGCACTAACAACAGAAGGAATATAAGTTACTGTTGATTCAACAGCACTAACAACAGAAGGAATATAAGTTACTGTTAATTCAACAGTACTAACAGAGGTACCACAACAGAAGGGAGGGTATTAGTTAAGGGTATTAACAGGCCTCCTTCTCTCAACAGGAGGTATTAAATTACTGTTGTTTCAACGACACTAACAGATCTATCACAACAGAGGGATTAATTTACTGTTTCAACGGTAGTAACAGAATTACTACAACAGAGGGATTAATTTACTGTTTCAACGGTAGTAACAGAATTACTACAACAGAAGGATTAATTTTCTGTTTCACGGTAGTAACGAATTACTACAACAGAGGGATTAATTTACTGTTTCAACGGTAGTAACAGAATTACTACAACAGAAGGATTAATTTACTGTTTCAACGGTAGTAACAGAATTACTACAACAGAAGGATTAATTTACTGTTTCAACGGCACTAACAGAACTTTCGTTTCCAACAGGGTGAATTAATTTACTGTTTTAACGGCTCTAACAGAGCTCTTATCTCCAACAGGTCGATATTAAATACCATTTCAACAGAACCAACAGAATTTTTACCCGTTTTCAGGGCGAGGAACGGGTCCGGCTGAGTCAAGAATATCTGGCAACAGAGATAGCAACAGAAGCAACGCCAACAGAGATGTCGCCGTCACAACAGGTGAGTGTCTTCTGTTAAACAGTCGATTTTCTGTTTAAACAGGGAAGGGTTGAATCCACTGGACTGTTGTTACTAGCAACCAGTAAGCCTACTGATCATTCAGGCTGTTGTTACTAGCAACCAGTAGGCCTACTGATCATCCAGGCTGTTGTTACTAGCAACCAATAAGCCTACTGATCATCCAGGCTGTTGTTACTAGCAACCAGTAGGCCTACTGATCATCCAGGCTGTTGTTACTAGCAACCAATAAGCCCACTGATCATCCAGGGTGTTTTACTAGCCCAAACCAGTAGGCCTACTGATCATCCAGGCTGTTGTTACTAGCAACCAGTAAGCCTACTGATCATCCAGGATGTTGTTACTAGCAACCAGTAAGCCTACTGATCATCCAGGCTGTTGTTAGTAGCAACCAGTAAGCCTACAGATCATCCAGCCTGTTGTTACTAACAACCAGTAGGCCTACGGATCATCCAGGCTGCTGTTACTAGCAACCAGTAAGCCTACTGATCATCCAGGCTGTTGTTACTAACAACCAGTAGGCCTACTGATCATCCAGCCTGTTGTTACTAACAACCAGTAGGCCTACAGATCATCCAGGCTGTTGTTACTAACAACCAGTAGGCCTACTGATCATCCAGGCTGTTGTTACAACCAGTAGGCCTACTGATCATCCAGGCTGTTGTTACTAGCAACCAGTAAGCCTACTGATCATCCAGGCTGTTGTTACTAACAACCAGTAGGCCTACTGATCATCCAGCCTGTTGTTACTAGCAACCAGTAGGCCTACTGATCATCCAGGCTGTTGTTACTAACAACCAGTAGGCCTACTGATCATCCAGCCTGTTGTTACTAGCAACCAGTAGGCCTACTGATCATCCAGTCAATGAGTTACAAGTTCTTCTTATCCTTCAGAAAGTGGACCAGGAGTCGTGATGTGGATGATATTTGGTTAATTATCATCCAGGAAGCATAGGAGAGAAGGATGATTGGTTAAGATCATCCAGCGTCCAGAGACATCCACTCAGAGATCATCCAACACTCTAACAAGGGCCTCGATATCCGTCACAGCTCATCCATGCAGTGGATGAGTCTCAGATCCACTCGGAGATCATCCAGCATCCAAGCACATCCACTCACATAATCCAGAACCCAAGCACATCCACTCAGAGATCATCCAGCATCCATGGCCCTCATCTCCCTACTATATCACAGACCTGTAAAATCGGCCTATAATAGGCTTGATTAGTGATCCATAATTGAAAAAAATAGGCCTATCTCTCACAAATGTAATAGTCTATTCTCTTCTGTGCTATACAATCATTATCAAAAGCACTAAAGATGTATGGGTGTAGACTTTTAGGCCTATTATCGTCACTGTGACCCACTTTGGCACTGTAATCTAATTTTTTTAAATTTTAGGCCTGGGTTTTTGAAATAAAATGCCTAGGTGGGCATGGGAAGGGAATTTCTGTATACTGTGTATCTTGTGTTTAGTGTATGATTGTATGGGGACCATATGTTGTATAAATTATGTAATGTTGGTGTACTATCAGCAGTGTCACTGTGTTGATGGTGTACTATCAGCAGTGTCACTGTGTTGATGGTGTACTATCAGCAGTGTCACTGTGTTGATGGTGTACTATCAGCAGTGTCACTGTGTTGATGGTGTACTATCAGCAGTGTCACTGTGTTGATGGTGTACTATCAGCAGTGTCACTGTGTTGATGGTGTACTATCAGCAGTGTCACTGTGTTGATGGTGTACTATCAGCAGTGTCACTGTGTTGATGGTGTACTATCAGCAGTGTCACTGTGTTGATGGTGTACTATCAGCAGTGATACTGTGTTGATGGTGTACTATCAGCAGTGTCACTGTGTTGATGGTGTACTATCAGCAGTGTCACTGTGTTGATGGTGTACTATCAGCAGTGATACTGTGTTGATGGTGTACTATCAGCAGTGATACTGTGTTGATGGTGTACTATCAGCAGTGATACTGTGTTGATGGTGTACTATCAGCAGTGATACTGTGTTGATGGTGTACTATCAGCAGTGATACTGTGTTGATGGTGTACTATCAGCAGTGATACTGTGTTGATGGTGTACTATCAGCAGTGTCACTGTGTTGATGGTGTACTATCAGCAGTGATACTGTGTTGATGGTGTACTATCAGCAGTGTCACTGTGTTGATGGTGTACTATCAGCAGTGTCACTGTGTTGATGGTGTACTATCAGCAGTGTCACTGTGTTGATGGTGTACTATCAGCAGTGATACTGTAATGATGATAGCACTGTTAACTACCAGTCATCCTGGGAACAATGTGATCTACGAGGCGCGGGTTGTCGACCCGCTGTTCGAGTCTTGGACTTTAGAAAGTTGTACTCATAAATGCTCTGATTACTTATGGACTCAAAAAAGTCTGTTTTGGTACTCTATTAACAGAATTATTTTTTATTAAGATCATAGAATCAACCCCAAAATTTTTTTTTTTCACATATTAATAAAAATTTTAATTTAACCTTTTCTACTAAGTCAGGTAAAAGAAATAATGGGTTTTTCATTGACTAAAAAAAGTTTCTCAAAACTTAAAATAAATCTTGGTATTTCAGAGAATGAAATTTTTTCCGGTGGAGGAATTTTAAGATATGAAAATATTAATGTTATTTATTCTAAGATTTCTGAAAATTGGGAAAAAAATTCTGATTGTTTTTGCTCCAGTTTGATCTGTAGAAGTCATATTTAATTGGTAGTACATATGTCATTATTTTTTGGAAATTTTTCCATCCCAGTCCATCCGAACTTATGGTGGCTCGACTGGTGAACCTTCGATTTACCAAATTTTAAAAGTGCCGGACAAAATCTTCTCGAGTGATTTTGACAAGCAGAGTCTGCCCTTTAGCGAATGATTATCTGTTGTTATAAGCATGATTAAACAATCTTATCTATCCATCACAACCTCTATTACCAATCATCCACTGTCATCTATCAGTGCACCAAATTGATGGTCCAATGTACTAATTTTTGGGGGGATGGAAATGAACCTAGTCCCCTGGGAAATTGGGAAAATTTGCCTATTCCATGGCACAATTAAATCAGGTTCAATATCTCGAAATATACTAACAAATCACCTGTAGCATCCCCACAAGCACACTTAGCCCAAAGTCAAAATTTTGAATCGCTTCTCGAAGTCCATGAGCTGTCATGTAGATCATATGTACTCAGTACTCCTTTACAGAAGCAAAACTTCCTATAGAAATTTCTGTACTCAAATTTCAGAGAGTGGTTCATAATGCATGGTATGGCATGATGGTAATGGTGTCAATGCTGCTGGTGGAAGCGCTGTTAATGAGAGTGGAAGTGATGGAACCTATAGTGGAATGGGCTCTTGGTAGAGCAATATTGTTGCCATAACAAAGCATTTGTTTCTTAGAGTATTTGATACTCTAAACAGAGCTCGAAGTAGCTCTATAAATAGTGTCTCTCTTATATACTTCTCAGCAAGTCTTGCCTCACAGACATTACAAATAATCTTTCAGTGGGACAATATCTTGGTCCAAGGAGAGCTCACAGTAGAGCTTGATCTGCTCTAAGGAGAGCTTCAACTAGCTTGATTAAACTTTCATAGAGCCTAGTCCCCTAAAAATGGCTTATACAGTTAAATGTATCTTCGATTTGACGTCGAGAACACTGACCCTTTATAGAAATTAAACATTAGTAATTATCAGGTGTTAATACACCTGTTAAAACAAGAAAAATTATTATTAGCTTTTTAGGGGGGAGATTCACTATACCTGGGGTTGCAATAATTAATTTTTTAATAGCATTTTGAAATGTAGCCAAAACATAGCAGTAATGGGTACACAAACGTGACCAAAAACCATTATACAACCAATATAATGTGCATTTTTTATTTTTTGAAAATGCATTTCACCCATTTGGGTAATACAGTGATAGGATGTACACATAGGAAACCAAAAAACTATCACCATCTCACCTATTTGTGGTGGAGGCAGACTAGGGAATATTTACTTGCTTTTACTTAAAAATATTGTAAAGATTAATCGTATTGTATATGAAATATTTGACTGGTAGTGAAGAGCTTTAGCAATGCAAAACAAATGAAGCTCAATCTCCATATTTTCCGAAGAGACTAACCATGAAGAAAGACTCGTCTGTTCTATAAGTGTGTTTAGTATTTCAGTTGGGTGCCAAAAGTTCTCAGTCTGATTCTTCGGAGAATCGAATGGTGCATCTTGATTCTTGTACGATGATTTAGTGTTGTCCTTCAGTGGGAATTATAAATAGAATATGGTTTCTTTGTGTAGTGGGTTGGGCATGATGATTACTTCCTGACTGCTTATTAAGAGCTATAGGGATTGCTGCCACTTGGCCCATTTTTAGAGGAATGGTGTATTCAGAATACTCCCCTATTACGACTGATGCAAACTTTTGGCACTCAACTGTATGTGTAATAAGGGTCCTGTCGAAATACTGCCAGAGTTTATTTATATGATTAAGTAGCCTGCACAGGATGCATGAGTTTATGCATGGTATTAACGAAAGGTCGATAATGTAAATCACAAACTCTTTTGTAAATCTTCGGTGCATTGCCGGTGCATTGCCACAGGTGCTGGCGAGGGGTCGTACCTTCTGGGTTAACCAAGTAGATTTGAGGTGATCCGGTTCGAAGGACCAACTTAACATCTGTATTTTAATAAATGATTCCTTATAGCACTATTTATGTATGCAAAAATTAGTAAAAAGAATAATTTCTTAAAATATTTATGTAAATAAAAATCAAGAAAAAACACTATTTTTTATTTTTTTAAGTTTTAAATATTTTAATTTTTACATACATAAATACTGTATTAACAAAATTCATTTTTTTGTCATACTTAAGTATCGATACTTAAGGGACATCATCACAGGACATGTATCCTGAGAGGTGTATTTCTCTCAGCAAATATACGCTGAAAACTTTAATCCCTATTTTAGGTATTAAAGTATATTTGGTGGTGAGAAGGTTACAGAGCAGCCTTAATGACCCACTTATTGTCGCTAGACTTCAAACTCCATTAACCAACCAACTGGTCATCAGAAAATTATGACCAGTGCTAGTATGAGAGTATTTTTTTGAGCAGGATGGCTCGTGTGTTCAGAATGCCTCTGACCCTTATTTATCTCAACCTCCAGTACTAGACTCTCCATTATGATGCTGAGTTTGTTCTTGCGATCCACAACACCTCAGTTCCAAGTCGAACGGTCAATACAAACCATACACCAAGTCTTTATGCCATCTTGGGACCCATTTTCATACTTATTAAGGTATACATACTCTAATAGGTATATATATTCTTCCAGAGGGCTTTACACTCGTTACACTCAGGATAGCACACCTATATCTCTGTATTTACATACTAATATTTTAATTTATACTTAGTATTCCAGCAGTATACATAGAGTATACATACCTTATGCCTCTCACTCCACTATCGCACAATTCTTACTGTGTGTAAACACCTCCCTTTCTCAATATTCCACCACTGTATACACTCCTATACTCATTTCGCCATTAAATATAAGACTTGGCTCCCATGAGAACAGTTGCCTGTTTGCCTCACTACTATTCTACCTATCATTAGTATGTCACAATTTCTAGTCTATGTATGGTTACAGCAGAGTGCCAAAAGTTCACAATCTGATACGTAGGAAGACTGCAAAGTTCGCTTTGGTCTATGAACTCAGCTTTACGCTGCAGTGTGGCCCTAAAAAATTGTTTGTTAGGTCTTCATATTGGGTTCAGCACGATGAGGTGTAAGTTTGGAACACTGCTGACCTCAGTCTGAACTTTTGGTGTTCATTTGTAGCATTTTTGGAACTCTCGGTGCTTGAGTGTAACTGTGTGGACACCAAATTGAGCGGTACTTTTGACTGCTGTCTCTGACTGGTACTTGTAAGTGATATTTGTGACTGAAATTTTTGGTACTCTTAAGTGGTTCTGTACATTGCAATACTTCTGACTACTATATGTGACTGGTACATTTTAAGTGGTACTTGTGACTGGTACTCTTGACTGGTACCTCTAAATTTGGTACCTTTAATTTGGTACCTTGAATGTATAGATTCTCATTTATGTATATAGTGTGTATGTACGTTGTATATACATACATGTACTCATGTAATTTTGGGCACAAATGTAACATTGTATGTAAATTTAATATGTAAGGTCGACAGTTTAAGGGATATGTGTTCGACGTGCCTATGAGTTTTTTTGTTTGTCAATGTATACCTCCTGAGTCTTTCACGCCAACCAAAGCTCTGCTGACAGCATCACCAGCACTCCGCTCTGCTATGGAGTCTGTGTTAAGGGGCTTTTCCAGGAGTGTTCTATGACTCCGACTCCTCCAAGGACACCTGTTTCCTCCCCTCTGTGGTGGCTTGGTAATCCTCAGGTCCACAGAATGATGTAAAGGAGTAGTGAAATCTTAGCACCACAGAACATTTTGTGTAAAAGAACTGTTGTTTAGTAACTAAAAACTATACTGTTACTAAACGACTAGGCTAAAAGTGTTTATATCTGAAAAGCCAGTTAGAGTGAGGGTGGATGTGAGAAACTAATATAAACTTGAATCCCCACCTTGATAACTGTGATGGGAAATGAAGGTATGTATAAGAAGAATTCTCTCTCGACAGACTGGAAACCTCTCCATAAACTAAATCCTCGGGAAAAGTGGTTCGATGTAGTTTAAGAAGTGTTTAAATTCCTGGATCGCCATTCTCACCTTCCTGACCCTAAGCAAAAGCGGAGTGCATAGGATAATGAAATGTTACAGGGAAAAAGATGGCACTAAACCTCATAGCCTTTAAGGTTGAAAGTCCACTTGTTTCAACCTTAGAAGCTAGTGGGGGGTTAGCACTATGCTCCCTCGACCCACATATAGAACATATCTCCTTCTGTCTCTGCCCACATTAAGTTACTGATGTGTTAGTGTTGTGGGTGATGCTTACAATGGTCAGGTTGTTGTGTAAGTGATACATGAGTGTAGCTGGAAACATTTAGACTGTAGCAAACCACTGTTAAGTGAGGATTCTCTTTTCCTATGGATGAGAGGGAGGTTTGACGGGCTTGACGGGAAGTCCTCGACTTACGAACGACGCAAACTACACTCATCTGCTTTGACAAACGAGGGAATTAGGAGCCAGCCAAGGGTTTTAAGAAAAGAAACTGCCAGTACATGCTTTGAACAAGTTTAAAACCTATCCTTTGTACCATTTTTTCTATAAAACTGATTTGTGAAGCAACAGCAGCCCAGCCTGTTCGTAAGTCGGGAGGGAGGGAGAGGGGACACGAAACGTTCGGAAGTCGAGGACTTGCCATACCACTGCCCTGTCTTAATGCCCAAATATCTTAACCTATACCCTACACTGACTACCCTGTACCCACTAGAGTACCACTAGATGTCAGCCTCACAAACCTAAACCCAGAAAAAAAAAAACTGAAACTTAGTTAACATTACTACAATTGTCTCTAGAAAATATTTAAAACTCTCACTGAAAAAAACACTAACAGTGAATATTTTGGCGAGATTGACCATTTTTTTGGCTACAGAAAGTGACTGGCCACTTGATTCCACTTGACTTGAAAGTGGGAGGCTGGCTGCAAGTGGTGCTCTAGTGGAGGAATCTACAAGTGAACTTAAAGATTAGAGATGTTGATGTTTAGAATGCAAACTGTTGTCTTAATCTTGACCTTTCCAGCTCCTATTGACCTTTCTGGCACCCTGTTGACCTTTCCAGATACCTGTTGACTTTCTGGCACCCTATTGACCTTTCCAGGTACCTGTTGACTTTCTTGCACCCTATTGACCTTTCCAGGTACCTGTTGACTTTCTGGCACCCTATTGACCTTTCCAGGTACCTGTTGACTTTCTTGCACCCTATTGACCTTTCCAGATACCTGTTGACTTTCTGGCACCCTATTGACCTTTCCAGGTACCTGTTGACTTTCTGGCACCCTATTGACCTTTCCAGGTACCTGTTGACTTTCTAACACCCTATTGACCTTTCCAGGTACCTTTTGACTTTCTGGCACCCTATTGACCTTTCCAGGTCCTACTGACCTGCCATCCTGTCGACCTCTCCATCTCTATTGAAATTAGCATCTCCCTATTGACCTTCCTGGCTCCCTATTGACCTTTCTGGAATCCTATTGACCTTTCTGGTACCTGTTAACCTTTCCATCTCTCTATCGATATTAGCATCTCCCTATTCACCTTCCTCGCTCCCTATCGATCTTTCTGGCATCCTATTGACCTCTGCAGCTCTCTATTGACCTTCCTGGCTGCCTATTGATTTTTTCGGCTCCCTATTGACTTTCTTGGCTCCCTATTGACCTTTCCCACTCCCTATTGACCTTTCTAGTTCCCTATTGACCTTTCCCGCTCCCTATTGACCTTTCTATTTCCCTATTGACCTTTTCAGCTCTCTATTGACCTTTCTAATTCTCTATTGACCCCCCATACTCTCTAATGACCACCCAAACTCCCTAATGACCACCCAAACTCCCTAATGACCACCCAAACTCCCTAATGACCACCCAAACTCCCTAATGACTACCCAAACTCCCTAATGACCACCCAAACTCCCTAATGACTACCCAAACTCCCTAATGACTACCCAAACTCCCTAATGACCACCCAAACTCCCTAATGACTACCCAAACTCCCTAATGACTACCCAAACTCCCTAATGACCACCCAAACTCCCTAATGACCACCCAAACTCCCTAATGACCACCCAAACTCCCTAATGACCACCCAAACTCCCTATTGACCACTCAAACTCCCTAATGACTACCCAAACTCCCTAATGACCACCCAAACTCCCTAATGACCACCCAAACTCCCTAATGACCACCCAAACTCCCTAATGACCACCCAAACTCCCTATTGACCACCCAAACTCCCTAATGACTACCCAAACTCCCTAATGACCACCCAAACTCCCTAATGACCACCCAAACTCCCTAATGACCACCCAAACTCCCTAATGACCACCCAAACTCCCTAATGACTACCCAAACTCCCTAATGACCACCCAAACTCCCCAATGACCACCCAAACTCCCTAATGACCACCCAAACTCCCCAATGACCACCCAAACTCCCTATTGACATCTCTAACTATCTACTGACCTCCCAAACACCCTATAGACCTTTCAAAGTCCCTATTGACTTTCCAAACTCTCTATCAACCTCTCAAACTCCCACTTGACCTCCCAAACACTCCATGGATCTCTCAACCCCCCCTACCAACCTCCTAAATTCTTGATTGGCCTCTCAAACTCCCTACTGACCTCCCTATATCCTCCCAAACTCTGTGTTAACTTTCGAAGCTCCCTATTCATATATCAATCTCCCTATTGACCTCTTACTCTCCTTATGTCCTCTCAATCTCCCTATTGACCTCTTACTCTCCCTATGACCTCTCAATCTCCATATTGACCTCAAAAACTCCCTGTTGACCTCTCAATCTTCCTATTGACCTCATAATCTCCCTATTGACCTCTCAATCTCCCTATTGATATCTCAGTCTCCCTGGTGACCTCTCAATCTCCCTAATGACCTCTCTCCCTATTGACCTCTCAATCTCCCTATTGACCTCTCAATCTCCCTATTGACCTCTCAATTTCCCCATTGACCTCTCAATCTCCCTATTGAATTCTCAATCTCCCTATTGACCTCATAATCTCCCTATTGACTTCTCAATCTCCCTACTGACCTCTCAATATCCCCATTGACCTCATAATCTTCCTATTGACCTCTCAATCTCCCTATTGACCTCTCAATCTCCCTATTGACCTCTCAGTTTCCTTGGTGACCTCTCAATCTCCCTATTGACCTCATAATCTCCCTATTGACTTCTCAATCTTCCTAATGACCTCTCAGTATCCCCAATGACCTCACAAACTCTCTATTGACCTCTCAATCTCCCTAATGACCTCACAAACTCCCTATTGACCTCTCAATCTCCCTATTTCTTCACTTCCTGTACACCATGTTGATGATAAAGTTGATCTTGCTATCTGTGTTTTATTGACCAAATTAAGATGAATAAGACACATGTACAACACCTGGCTGACTTTATTGATGTGTAAGATACATGTACAACACCTGGGTCCCACAGATGTTGTCCGGTCCCATCGCGTTTGAGGTATCAAGGTCACTTAGCAGCATCTCTGCTCCCTCTCTAAGGACCCACAGATGTTGCCCAGTCTTATCGCCTTTGAGGTATCAAGGTCACTTAGCAGCATCTCTGCTCCCTCTCTAAGGACCCACAGATGTTGACCAGTCCCACCGCCTTTGAGGTATCAAGGTCACTTAGCAGCTTCTTCACCTCAGTTGTGTGTCATCCAACACTTGTTGGTGTTTTTGTATTTACTAATAATGTCGACTCTCTTGCATGTTTGTACAACAATACTAGTGCAAGTATTAGTCCACTAGTTGAAGCTTCGGTATCTGGTGCAACCGTTCATGTCTCTCTGAACACTGGCGCTTAAGTCAGTATTATTCACTAGCCTGACTTAAGAAATCGTAATGACACGATTACAAATAAACCATACCCCGGGCTGGAGTTTTGAGACTCTATGACCGCGGGTTCAATCCCGGCCGGGGGTATGGTTTATTCACTAGCCTCTTGAAGGGGGTCAGGATAACGCCTTCCGTCTGAACAGAAAAAGTTAATAAATGACTCCAGGGATAATAATGACCATAAAAATAGAAATTGACTCTGGTGTGGTTCCAGTTTGATGTTGGGACAAGAGTACATAATGCCCAAGATGGTCTTCTGATGTTTTGAAAAACTCGTGTTGGTTATCCTGGATGGCGGTGTTTGTCCCATGTTTTGGAAATTACCGTCACCACCTGGTGATAGCGCCACAATTAAGATTTCAGAGAGGAGTTGTAATGTCCTACTATGTCCAGTAGACAGGCATCTTCCTCCAGGCCAGCAGCACAGCTGATAATAAAGAAAATAACTCTGGTTACGTAAGAGATAGGTAAATATAACATTGAACAGAGACAAAGGCTGGTATTCAAATTCAGTGTTATTACTGGTAAGCAGGTAAATCTGTAACAATGAGCAGAAATACTCCTGGAAGATCATCTTACCTGACCAGGAGAAGAATGGAGGTGCTTCTCCACACCTTACCCCACACCAGGTAAGGTTAATACTGCCAGGAACTGGATCCCAGGAACTGGAGTTTAGCCTCAGCTCGCTAGATGGTAGTGTGGGCGGTAAGACGCTATTGGTTCCTGGGTGTCTGAACTACCACCACTACCACTACTACCACTACCATCACTAACACTACCACCACTACTACCACCACCACTACCATTACTACTACTAACACCACTTCTACCACCACCACTACTACCACCACCACCGCTACCACCACTGCCACCACTACTACCACCACCACTACCAAGACTACTACTATCACCAGCACCACCACCACTACTGCCACCACAACAACTATTTCTACTACCACCATGACCACTACCACCCCTACCACCTCTACCACCACCACTACTACTACCACCACCACTACCACCACCACTATCACCACTACCACCACTTCCACTACTACTACCACCACACCACCACCACCTGTACAACAACTACCACCACCACAACTACCACCACCACAACTACCACCACCACTACCACCACCACCACTATCACCTCCACTATCACCACCACTACCACCACTACTACTAACACTATCACAACTTCCACTACCACTATAACTGCCACCACTACCACCACTGACAACACCATTACCAACATTACCACCACCACAACTACCACTTCAACTACCAACTCCACCATCACTACTACCACAACTACCACCCCACTATCAACAGGAAACAAGATCGCCAACCATGAGTTACACAACCCAGGGCAACACGGGTTTACAGCAGGTCGCTCCTGCCTGTCCCAACTACTGGACCACTATGTCAAGGTCCTGGACGCTGTAGAGGATAAACAAAATACAAATGTAGTATATACAGACTTTGCAAAAGCTTTCGACAAGTGTGACCATGGTGTAATAGCGCACAAAATGTCTGATAAAGGAATAACAGGAAAAGTTGGTAGATGGATCTATAACTTCCTGACAAACAGAACACAAAGAATATTAATAGGGATGGATACTGTGAAAAGCTCTGTTCCACAAGGCACAGTACTGTCTTCCAGTGTTCCACAAGGCACAGTACTGTCTTCCAGTGTTCCACAAGGCACAGTACTGTCTTCCAGTGTTCCACAAGGCACAGTACTGTCTTCCAGTGTTCCACAAGGCACAGTACTGTCTTCCAGTGTTCCACAAGGCACAGTACTGTCTTCCAGTGTTCCACAAGGCACAGTACTGTCTCCCAGTGTTCCACAAGGCACAGTACTGTCTTCCAGTGTTCCACAAGGCACAGTACTGTCTTCCAGTGTTACACAAGGCACAGTACTGTCTCCCAGTGTTCCACAAGGTACAGTACTGTCTTCCAGTGTTCCACAAGGCACAGTACTGTCTTCCAGTGTTCCACAAGGTACAGTACTGTCTTCCAGTGTTCCACAAGGCACAGTACTGTCTTCCAGTGTTCCACAAGGCACAGTACTGTCTCCCAGTGTTCCACAAGGCACAGTACTGTCTTCCAGTGTTCCACAAGGTACAGTACTGTCTTCCAGTGTTCCACAAGGTACAGTACTGTCTTCCAGTGTTACACAAGGCACAGTACTGTCTTCCAGTGTTACACAAGGTACAGTACTGTCTTCCAGTGTTCCACAAGGCACAGTACTGTCTTCCAGTGTTCCACAAGGTACAGTACTGTCTTCCAGTGTTCCACAAGGCACAGTACTGTCTTCCAGTGTTCCACAAGGCACAGTACTGTCTTCCAGTGTTACACAAGGTACAGTACTGTCTTCCAGTGTTCCACAAGGCACAGTACTGTCTTCCAGTGTTACACAAGGTACAGTACTGTCTTCCAGTGTTCCACAAAGCACAGTACTGTCTTCCAGTGTTCCACAAGGTACAGTACTGTCTCCCAGTGTTCCACAAGACACAGTACTGTCTTCCAGTGTTCCACAAGGTACAGTACTGTCTTCCCGTGTTCCACAAGGTACAGTACTGTCTTCCAGTGTTCCACAAGGCACAGTACTGTCTTCCAGTGTTCCACAAGGTACAGTACTGTCTCCCAGTGTTCCACAAGGCACAGTACTGTCTCCCAGTGTTCCACAAGGCACAGTACTGTCTCCCAGTGTTCCACAAGGCACAGTACTGTCTCCCAGTGTTCCACAAAGCACAGTACTGTCTTCCAGTGTTACACAAGGTACAGTACTGTCTCCCAGTGTTCCACAAGGTACAGTACTGTCTCCCAGTGTTCCACAAGGCACAGTACTGTCTTCCAGTGTTCCACAAGGCACAGTACTGTCTCCCAGTGTTCCACAAGGCACAGTACTGTCTCCCAGTGTTCCACAAGGCACGGTACTGTCTTCCAGTGTTACACAAGGCACAGTACTGTCTTCCAGTGTTACACAAGGTACAGTACTGTCTTCCAGTGTTCCACAAGGCACAGTACTGTCTTCCAGTGTTCCACAAGGTACAGTACTGTCTTCCAGTGTTACACAAGGCACAGTACCGTCTTCCAGTGTTCCACAAGGCACAGTACTGTCTTCCAGTGTTCCACAAGGTACAGTACTGTCTTCCAGTGTTCCACAAGGTACAGTACTGTCTCCCAGTGTTCCACAAGGTACAGTACTGTCTTCCAGTGTTCCACAAGGCACAGTACTGTCTTCCAGTGTTCCACAAGGTACAGTACTGTCTTCCAGTGTTCCACAAGGCACAGTACTGTCTCCCAGTGTTCCACAAGGCACAGTACTGTCTTCCAGTGTTTCACAAGGCACAGTACTGTCTTCCAGTGTTCCACAAGGTACAGTACTGTCTTCCATTGTTCCACAAGGTACAGTACTGTTTTCCAGTGTTCCACAAGGTACAGTACTGTCTTCCAGTGTTCCACAAGGCACAGTACTGTCTTCCGGTGTTCCACAAGGCACAGTACTCGCTCCCAGTGTTCCACAAGGCACAGTACTGTCTTCCAGTGTTCCACAAGGTACAGTACTGTCTTCCAGTGTTCCACAAGGCACAGTACTGTCTTCCAGTGTTCCACAAAGTACAGTACTGTCTTCCAGTGTTCCACAAGGCACAGTACTCGCTCCCAGTGTTCCACAAGGCACAGTACTGTCTTCCAGTGTTCCGCAAGGCACAGTACTGTCTTCCAGTGTTCCACAAGGCACAGTACTGTCTTCCAGTGTTCCACAAGGTACAGTACTGTCTTCCAGTGTTCCACAAGGCACAGTACTGTCTTCCAGTGTTCCACAAGGTACAGTACTGTCTTCCAGTGTTCCACAAGGTACAGTACTGTCTTCCAGTGTTCCACAAGGTACAGTACTGTTTTCCAGTGTTCCACAAGGCACAGTACTGTCTTCCAGTGTTTCACAAGGCACAGTACTGTCTTCCAGTGTTCCACAAGGCACAGTACTCGTTCCCAGTGTTCCACAAGGCACAGTACTGTCTTCCAGTGTTCCACAAGGCACAGTACTCTCCTATTCTATTCCTCATCCTCATATCTAACATAGACAGAGATGTAAGCCACAGCACTGTGTCTTCCTTTGTGGACGACACCGGGATCACCATGACAGTGACCTCCATCGAAGACACTGCGAGACTCCAGGCGGACATTAACCAAGTCTTCTAATGGGCCTCTCAAAACAATATGAAGTTCAAAGAGGAGAAATTACAACTACTCAGACATGGGAAACTTGAAGAAATTAACAATGTATCAGGGTATACCACAGATTCTAACTATACAATAGAGCGGAAAAGTAATGTGAAGGATCTGGGAGTGATAATGTCAGAGGATCTCGCCTTCAAAGACCACAACACTGTATCTACCTCGTCTGCTAGGAAAATGATAGGATGGATAATGTTAACCTTTAAAACTAGGGACACCAAGCCCATGATGATTCTTTTCAATCTA